AGTACGTTGCCTCGGCGACGTCGCCTCCTTTTCTGGTCCTCGTCATATCAGACGAGGAGAAGAACGCAGTCTTCTCCTCATCTATTGCGTTCTTCTCCTCATCTATGGTATTCGGCGAAGATGTCAAAGGTCACAGACATCTCCGGCCTTCGGCGAAGAAGAAGTCGAGCCGCCATCTCCCCATTACCTCGCAGATCGGGATCGTCGAGGGAGAGCGGCATCGGATCGGGAAGTGTCGAGGTTCTCCCAATTCTCCCTCTTCTTCGACACTTCTTCTTCCCTCGTCGCAACCAGGCTAATATCGTCTGGTACAGGCGGTATCATTCGAAATCAAAATCCTTGATTCCACTGATCACCAACCTCCCACGCAGTCCACCACCGGTGACCCCACTTCTTCAGGTCCTTTAAGGTGGTGGGAGAGACTATAGAGTATTAGGAGTCAAAGTAGTGGAGTTAAAAGAGACGAAGATGGAATGGCTACCTAACAAAAAGGTTTTGAAGGAATGGAATTAAATTCCTTAGGTTATGTTTAGATAATGAGACTGTGTTAGGGAGAGAATGAGGGAATGTGTCATAGAGAAAGAGAGATAGGGAGAGGTGCTGGTTTGCATGAATCTCAATGAAGAAAGTGTCTTAGGGTAAAGAGAGAGAAACATCAAAAGAGGGTCCAACGTAAGGGGGTTCATGGAGAACCTATTATTAGGAAACAGGGAAAGGGAAATTCAAGTTAAACCATCAGTGGTAGGAGCTCCAGATGTGAACGTGCTGGTAACTAGTAAGAACTAAATATGTATTTGATTCGATTTGGTATGCCTAGTTCCTACTTTTTGGTAATCTGTATAAAACTAAATTTAGCATTGTTAATCTAATCTGTATGGAAGTTCTATTAAGTAAAAGTTTTAGGTATCTTGCATCAACTTGATGAAAATATTATTCATGGATTAAAAATAGGATGGTTAAAATAGCAAATGGTGACTCATACAAATTTTATAAGACAGTAGTTAGATCAACAATACTTTATGCATTTGAGTATTGGGCAGTTAAGAAACAACATATAAAAAGATAGTTTGTGTTGCGTAGATGAGAATGTTGAGATGGATATGTAGAGTTACTAGGAAAATAAAAACAGAAATATTTTCATTCGTGAGTTATTATGTATCACTTCAGTAGAAGATAAAATGGGGAAGAATCGTTTAAGATGATATGGACATGTGATAAAGAGAACTACAGACGTGAGATGCGATAGTTAGAAAAGTTAAAGTGTGATGATTAAAATTAGTGGTACGAGAAGAGGTAAAAGTAGACTTAAAAGACTTTAATATAAAGTATAAACTATATATAAATATTTAAATACTCTTTATAGATTTCAATGGAGGCAAGAGATCATATAGTCGATCACAAATAGTTGTTTTGGCTATATGGTCGTATCTAACTGCAGATGTTAATAATGGGTTATTTTGTGTTTATAGGGCATCTGAAGCATTCTTGTTTAGTAAAGGTAAAATGTATGCCACGTTTAAGGGCATTTTGGTTAATGAAATGACATTTGCAACTCAGCCCATCATGTTTATATGCGTCCAAGTTGAGTGCTACATATTTATAAGGTATATACATTTACTTGAAAGAGGACAGATCTTGGTACAAGGGTGATGTTGCTCCCTTGTGACCTGGGTGATCAAGGTTTGAGTCACAGAAATAGGCATAGAGGACTATATACATTGACCCTCTCAGCCCCCACACCCGCCTTTTATACATTTATTTGAAACTTTGGAGGTATATGTAGTTTTTTATATATTGTCAGCAGGATGTCGGAAACCCTTCAGAAAGGACCTAGGCAAGATAGTGAAGAGAGAAGAAAAAGGGAGTAAATGCAAGTTTAATGTGTGTATTAACCTACGTTTTTAATTTTGAATAATACCGCCCGCTACACCACGAAACACTGGATATCGCCCCGTACGGACAATACGGAGCTATATCGGACGGTAACAGTCGAAATTAACCGCTACCGACCTGTAACAGTGTTCCAACGGTCAAATTGACCGTTGGAGCCCTTTCTCATGGGTTTTTAAACCCATCCTCTCTCTATTTCACTTTATTTCACTTTCACACTCTCTTAAACTACCTCAAACTAACTATTTCTCACATTTGTACTCTCCTAAACTCTACAAAACAATGATTTATGAATTGAATCGAGGATAATTTGAAAGGATTAAGAGGAATAACTTTTTAATCAGGAGCAATATTTTACACATATCACCCAAGATTCAGATCATGGAACTCAACAAGGTACTAGTTAAGTTTATGCGCAGAAAGAAAACGGGAAGGCAGTGGATGAATTTGAACAAATGCGATAGAGCCTACATGATGTAAACACAGAATAAAGCTCATCATACTCATAGCCGTCGTATTATGAAAAATCATACGGCCAATAGCAGTACAGTGATAGTTGGTCATACTTCTCCGAGCAACAGTATGATACGGAACAGCAGATCAGTAACGAAAGTAGAAGCTCTGCCATTCACCAATACATGCCTCAGGAGATGCTTCGGATAAATGTGATTCATGATAATCAACCTACGATCATCACCACATTAATGCACCAATGGCATACGGTGTATCAATACACTATATCGTGGGATCAATTTCAGGATTAGGTCCAACAAACATATCATATTGATATGCAGATGCATAGGATCGAGGACCCCAATCCACCACCCGTGGAGGCTCTTCATTTATTTTGGTGGTAGAATCAACAATCAGATATATCTACATATGTGATTATTTAATTCATTTGAATTTTAAAGTTTATATTGTAACAAAATAATCTAACAATTCAAATGATTTTTCTCTAGATATTTCAATATTTACATAAGGACAATCCGTAACGAACCGAAATACGAACCTTACATAAGGCTATTCCTCAAAGCCCGAAAAATATATGTGACACTATTCTTATCTAATTTACATTGATTTTGCCAAACTTATACTATTACTATATTTATTTCTAACTTAAAAACTCTATCCTAACTTTTTTTCTATTTTTCAGGTATTTTCGAAGGATTTTACGCCTAAATTAGGCGTACCGAGCAAAGCTCGAAACTTCGGTACGGTACGAAATTTCAATCCTTGGGTACAAAATGCAAATGTTACAAAAAATGAATTTGATACCTAGATTGTGATAGGAAATTGAACTTGTAGAGATACGCTTCTAATGTGGTTTGAATGAAAATTAGTTGCTCAAAATTTAATTCTACCACTTCACAATTAATCTAAAGATTTTTAGATGCATTGCATTAAAAAGTCAGCTATTTGGAACAAGTCATTTTATTTGAATATGATTCACAAAAGAATGCAACTACCAAAGAAATTAATAAATATTCAGAAAACAATAAGATGGCCTAGTGCTCAAAAAGATGACAGGCAATACCTAATAAATGATAAATCAATATCAAACTATATAATTTAGGTGTCACACATACCTTCCATACTCATCTACATGCATGCCTTCCATTTCTCTGATTGGATCATCCACGGACCTCTCAGCTCGTGATGGGCGTCTCAGAAAGAGTCCAGCACACACATCATCATTGGGAACCTCAATATCATCAATGTATCTATGAAGGAGAGATTCTGGCATAATTTTCCTCCCAAGCCATAGCTTCAAAACCTGAGAAAAAAAATTTACTTTTCTGAAAAGGATATAATACCATTAAATTGTAAGAAAGTAAAAAAATCACCTTGAGACACTGACGACGATTCTCACGAGCACCAGCCCCAGGTGGTGCAGCAGCCCCCAACAGGCGTGGTAATGCTGCTTGTACAGTAGGAATATATGATGATCCAGCAATCCCTAGAAGTTATCAATACATCACAAATAATATGAATTTTGTTTAGATAGCACTAACAGTAGTTGCCATTCTAGAACACAAAATAAACCAAAAAAGTGTCATAATGTAACAAAAGGAATCTGTACCCAAAATCTTGATACAAGTTCTTGTTTATCACAGAAGAACTAAATCTATATTCTATTTAATTGACGTAAAAACCAAAACAAGATTCACAATACAGCATTCTGTATTGATTAAATTCTACTCCAAAAACATGTCAAACTCAAAAAATAATAATAATAAAATTAATGAAGTAACAAAGTTTTAACCAGCATGAACCAACCTTTCTGAGAATGTGAGCATTGAGTGATAGAGTCAACAAGGAAAAAGAGATCAATTCTACGATGAAAGCTAGGTTCACTCTCCAACTTCTGAATAAGTAGCTCCACAATCTGCAGACAATCACATCTATTGCCTATTATGATCTTTCATTAATTGGCATAATTATTGCATCAAACAGTATGTTATCCAAAACAAATAGTAAGTTCAGATTAGAACATATAAAGATTGTTAATACATGAAAATTTAGACACCCTATAGCATGATTATGCATGCAAGCTCACCTCGCCAGCAATACCATATTTGGCACACTCAATCGCAAGACGAGTTGCACGTCCAATACTATCCTTTGTCCTTGAAAGTGTTTCTATCATACCCTCTAAAGCATCACGTGCGACAGCAGCTTCAGTACCACCACTTAGTGAACCACCTGGTGGCCTGTATTCAGGACTAATCCTGTGCTCATATTCTTCAACTTCCACTTTGTTTGCTAAAGAAAAATCCTGATAAACAGCAGATGGAGAATCAAAAGGCGTGGAAGCATAAGTTCCTCTCATATCTTTCTGAACAGAATGTGATGATGAAAAGGGAATTGGAGTAGCAGGACTTGGACTCCTTCCATGGAACACATCAGGAGTCGATGATAAAGTAGGAATAGGAGGTAGGTATCGTGATTGTGCTTCTCTCCTTTTTGCTTGAGCAGCTGCTATAAGGTGCTTCATTGACTTAGTGGTATCAGAAAATATAGATTCATTATGGCTTGTTAATTTCTCTTCCTTAGCAGGTTCCAATCTGTACAATAATGAAATTAATGAAAAATTAACCAAAACAGAAAATAAGTTATACCTTCTCTCTCTCTCTCTCCTAATACCACAATTTACACGTCCAACTAAAAGTGAAGTCATACCTTTTCTTTCCTAGAACATTCTTTTCATAATTTTGTTCCACAGGAAGTTTGTTATCAGTCCTGTTTTCAGTAAGCACATTAATGTGCATGTTGCATTTCAAGGTTGCCTTTGCGTTAACTGATTTACCGGATGCCTTAACTTTTTCTGGTGTAGCTCGCCTATGGGAGGATCTCAAGCTCTCAGATTGGTGGTTTGAGAGTTTCGATAGAACAATCTGAGATTTCTTTCCTGAAGAAGAAACCAGGGCTTTTGTATATGGGTTTGCAGATATTTGATCTGTCGAATTCAATTCATCATCCAGAGCAACAGATACCTTGGGTGAAACATTGGGTGGTCTAGAATCACCAAATGATGACTTCTGATATTCTGGATTGTTAGGACTTTGAGAACTCTGAGCTCTTTCAGATGTTTCTATCCTATCCTTCATTTTCTCAGCCATCTTGACAGGCAATGACATGCCGGCAGAAGATTTCAAATCCCTGGTTATACCAGGCTTTCCAGCCACAGCATTACTCAATGGAGAATCTCTGTTACCCTCCCTCACAGAGTGAAATTTCTGTTCAGAAACTGAGATGTCAGAATGTGCTAAAACCAAGTTGCTTGCAGATTCTTTATGAATTGGAGTCTTCCGCTCCACCTCATCATCATCATCAAATCTATATGATCGACGCCTGTATCGGACAGTCATATTAACGGATCTGTCATGTGTTTCATCTTTTACAAAGCGAGAACTAGTTTGAATTGTACTTGCAGCAGTTTTAGTGGCGGGATCAGCAACTGCATTCGTGACATAAGAATGTTTGGTTGTCGGACGGACAGCCTCATCACGTGCAACAAGCATCCCACCATGATGTATTTCCATCTCCGGTATTAAGGAACCTTCAGTTTTCACGGAAAGTTCAGATTTTTTTGTCTTTACAACTTTATCACTTTTACTTTTGACATCACAAGATAAATCACTATGCCTTGAGTTCTTGCACTTGTCACCATTCTCTCCTGCTACTTTTGATCTTTTAGCTGGCAGTGAATCTTTGCATACATCCAACTTACGCCTTCTATTTATACCCTGAAAAATCTCCTCTGTTGATTCACCAGAAGAACTCAACGCATCATAGTCATGTTCATTGGAAGCATCTGCTAAGTCCTTCCTCAGATCACTATGCAACTTTTCTTTTTCAATAGAATGTTCCTTAGGTCTTTTCAGACTCTTTGATATCTTGGCATTTTTTGAGTCAGTACCACTTGAAGCATTTTTAGATGGTTCTCTGCCACGGTCACATGAAATGGCCCCTTTATTTCCCTGTCCAGGCAGCTTGTTTCCCTTTCCATAAGAATTCAACTGCTTTTGTAGAGTCATGTTTCTTTTAACTCCACAAGCATTGTCCAGTTTTTGTTTCTTCTCTGAGACCTTTGTGGTTCGATGATCAATTTCTAGAACCTTCAAAGCATTACCTGCATCTTTGTCCTGAAGTTCATTTTCATCGTTGTGATTACTGGACTCCTGAGGTTCATCAGCAGCAGAGCCTTTTGGTTGTCGCTCTGCAATTCCTATTTTGGGTGGCATCTCCAGTTCATTTTTCTTACCATCATTGGAATTAGTATGTGTCAATTTCTCCTTACCAGAAAAAGCATGAGAATCTGACACAGAAACTGCAAGTTTCTTTTCCTTTGCAATCTGAACACCATTGCTTGAAGCTTTTTTTCTTGTCAAGAGAGTTCCAGATCCACCAAAACCCATATCAGAGGACACAATTCCCTCCTGACCATACTCCGCTCCAAGCAGCTCATCATTCACATTATGTTTTTGTTCCAGGTCTTCCAAGTGAGATGCCTCATATTGATGCTTGCTATCTTCAGAATCACTGATTGAGGGAGATGCAAGGGCAGCACTGGTGCTTTCAACATCCTGCTCTGATTCTGCTGAATGTTTCTTGTTCAGTTCTTCAAAAGCCTCACATATCTCCTCCACAGCACGAGCAAAGTACTTAACCGTTTTACCCTGGCAACGAGCTGCCAACTTACTCTTTGACTCATTAGTAAGCACCTGAATGTCAGCTGGTACAACAAAAGCACTGCAAATGGATAAAAAAATGTCATCAACCATATGTTGACAAAGTATATCAACCATATAGGATACAGGAATACAACCACGTAGGATAAGATTTTGACAAAAAACATTCTCAAGTAAAACTTCCACCAAATTTATTCATCGAAACATTGTATTCAAAAACCAAAACGGCATGCTTGATGTGAAACAGAAAACATGCTTCACAAATGCTTTGTATTAAATGCACAAGAAATTTGAGTACGTGAACTGCATGTGGACCAAAACAGGAAAAAGAGTGGCTAGGGACTTATGAGTTGTGACTGTCACCAACCACAGCCATTTCCCAATATATAAAGTCAAGTCATCCTTTTTTGTTTCTATAGAAACCACATCAAAGGTCACCCAGATAAATTTAGCAAACATTTTTGAACTTACCAAGAGTTAATTTTTGTTTAATTTGTGAAGACTTTTAAGGTAAGCTGGTGATGGAGACAGCTAGTTTTCAAGCAAACCTTGAGCCCCATGTTCAATTGGAACTAAATACTAAATCCCAAACTGAGAAGTAAATGTAACAAAAATATACTTGATGAATTCACAAGATATCTTGATTTCTCTACCTGTAAATTTGGGTTATAGGAGCACCATTGCACCATAAACTTATGTTCTGTCAGTTATACATCCTGAACAGATTTTTATCATCAAAGATATGTTCAACGTACGATTCCCAATGCATTATTCAAAATATTATCAATTCTATACCAAACATCCTGAAGAACTTATATAGCAAAAGGAGAACACATAGATTGTTTGATGAATCAATTATATTTATGCACATAGATGCAACCCAGGTATTCTCTAGCTCTAGATTCTAGAATAAAAAATAAACCAGAAACTGACAACATACAGTCTCCAGTGCACTATGTAAACAAAAACCAGTTCTATGTCAAATGTCATTAAGAATTTTATAATGAAAGGAGAACACATATGATTGGTCAATGAATTTTATTTATGCATCTGGATGCAGCCTGGTCTTGGCTACAACTGTAGCAAGTCTGATAAGCCAATTATTGATTATGAAGGTTATTGATAATATCCTGATACTTGGTATGAACTTCAGATTAAATAGCATCACTTTAAACAAACACTAGAAAAAACAAGAATCATTTTTTATTTAAACATCAAACAACTGCAAATCAATCTAATATATATATGCAATATAGTGTTCAGAAAAAGAAATTTTAAGAATTAACCACAATATCCAATTTTTCAGGAAATCTTTATTATTTTAAGTTATTTCAAAGCATGTATCACCCAGTCTCCTCTAAAATTGGAAGCTTCAGAAGTTCAAAGGGAAGCAGTACAATTTTTTATGAATATATAAGCATGACATACTTCACCTTAAAAGTCCAAACATATTAATAAAAGTTTTCAAAACAACATAAAAAAGGCACTACCTAATTACCAAATTCTTCACAACAAATAATATGACTTTCTGAAATTTAGATGCTCTGATTTCAAATTTTCATCAAAGAACACACTAACCGAATATGAATCTTACCTAAGTAAACATCATGGAAGTTTTTCCTTGTATAGTTTAACATGCATATACTGTCTCATAGTTCACATTATGTGATAGTTTACGTAGATTCTCCTCAAGTGTGATAATTTTCATCAAAGAACACGCTAACTGGAATATGCATCTTACCTAGGGAAACATCTTGGAAGTTTTTCCTTGTGTAGTTTAACATGCATATACTGTTTCATAGTTCACATGGTGTGATGTTTTATGTAGATTCTCCTCAGGTGTGGTAATTTCAGTATCTTATCGAAGATAAGAATACAATTATTCATCAGCCCAGAGTGCTGCTCTAATTGGGCTGGCTTTGCTCTGTATCAGGTTAAATTTCACAAACTCAAGTTTTCTCACCGACCATGAAAGTAATTCTTTAGTTTACTTACCTAAGAAGAACAGATAATGGATCTCAACAACCATGACCTTGGTCATCTTCTGATCTCATGAAAATACTAGATCATCAGGCAGAATATAGCACAAAGCAAATGAATTCTCAAGAGGTCGTGCCAGCAAAAGGAAAACCAGTGACACTTACATTTCCGAAGTCCCGAAGAACTGAACAAAGTACTTCCTAGGATCTGGTGATCGATCAAAATCTTCCGGGCTGCTTATCTGAAAAGTTGGCCGCCGATGTTCAATTGAGGTTAAAACATAATCACCAGATGCAATAAAACCAGTATATAAAAAGGGGCGGGAGGAAACAAAAGAGATAATTAGTAAAAAAATCTTGAAAACATATTGAGATAAGTAAAAGATCAGTAAAGTGAAACCATGGAAGATGTTAGATTTTCCAAGATAAATATAGGCAACGAAAAGGCCAAACAAAATTTAGCAGGAGATGGGAAACAACGCTAAGAGCAAAATTTCAACAAGAACAATACCATTGTACCAATGAATTCCTCGCACAATAACCAATATCAAGAACCCTAGATGCCTCGTTCCAAATAATCCAAGCAGATGACATGAAAATAGTTTATGCAACACAGACATCGTCGGACGTCGGAGTCGCGGAGGCATCAAAAATCCCATCTTTCAAACAATATCAGAACGAAGAACATCAAGAAATCGGGCTTACCTTCGCGGGCCAAGAAGGGTACCCCTTAACCTTCGCGAGAACGAGATCCCCCGTCTTGAGCTGCCCCATGGCCTTAACCCGGTTCCCACCTCTCCTCCGCCCGGGAGCCATGGCGGCGAACCGACAAACCCTAACGCGCTCCCGTCTTCCAGGAACACAACCGCCCACGAGCAACGGCGTCCAGGCGAGCGCTGTGGAAACCCTAGGGCTTCTTCCCGCGGGACTACTCTCCCTCCGGTCGAAGGGCGGCGCTCTCCCGTTCTTACCTACGTCGATGGCGAGCTGCGGCGGCAAGATCGAGCGGCGGCGGAGCGCGTGCGTCCGAACGGCGAAGACGAGTTGGGGAAGAGATCAGGAAGCGCGAGGAAACGAAGAGGGCAGTGTCGTTGGCGATCGGAATTGGGTTGGACGAAGAATGACAGAGATTCCAGTAAGAGAACCGAATTAATGAAAATTAAGTATATAAAGAAAAAAGGAAAAAAAGAAATAAATAAATAAAAGGCGAGCACGTGAGCTGGTTCGACATAAAGTATATCATCTAATCAGACCGACTCTTTTGGTTCATTTAAGACTAATTACATATTATCTACTTAATTAGTTATCTTTAGTCTCGATTCCTCCTCAACATCTCTACAGTTACAAAATGAAACACATCAAAATTAATTTATCATAACGACATTAGTTTTATCGATGAAAATAAAAAATAAAAAAAAATAATTTTAATATTTAATGACGGATGATGATACCACTAGTGTTGATGTCGATGTTGTTGTCTGACCACCTCCGACGATAATAAGATCCGCTCTCATCACAATGCAATCCACCTCTACGAGGAACGTGCCGTCGACCTTATCGACACTCGCCCTATGTCGCATCTGCATCGACGCTAATATAGTTATTGTTCAAAAATTATATTGGCGTTGACACAAATGGTGGTGACCGCTCCTTCGTCATCTCATTCTTCAGGGAGGAGCACTCCAAAATTCTCAAATCTCTCTCCCATCTTGCCACAACCAAGGATGCCTTTGCCAACTCCCTCCTCCCCCTCTCTCCCTTGGTCCGCTCCCACTCGGAACACTCCACCACATGCAAAAAGCACTCTATTGCCTCCCTCGACCTATTTACGACTACGTACGCCCTCTACTCCAATAACTTCCTGCACGACGATGACGACATGGATAAGCTTTGGTTAATGCTTGACACTGTGCCACAAAGGGTGACGTCCATCGTCGACTAGTTTCAGCTCTTCGATTTGTACAGCTTTTGCAAGGTAGCATGCTCCATCGTGGACGCCACGGTTCGCCTTCCTCGGATTGGGTTGTTGGGTTTCTTCAATCGTTGACCTAGCCCATAAAACATTTGACGTAGTTACCGAGCGACGCTGCTCTATATCTGTATCAACATATATGTAAATGTCGAGTGACCCTTTCATCGCCCGACAATTACGTTGATGCCAAAGTAGTTATAGAGTGACGCGATATGGGTGACGATGAGATCGGTGGTGTGCTCCTTGTGAATGCAAGGACGTCACAATGAGAGCATACCTTATTATCGTCGAAGGCAATCAAACAAGTGCATTGGTGTCGATGTCAGCATCGTGACAATTCGACACCATCGATTTAAAGTGCATGGATCGAAACGTTAAAGATAATTAACTATGTAAGATAATATATAATTAACCCGCTCGATTAGAACATGTTCTCAATTGAGATGGTTCAAAAGGTTGGTCCAAATTAGAAAATATCCATTTTAGAGAGGTATAAATCGATAAAATTAATTGAACATAAAAAGGAAGACAAATATATATATATATTGAAAATTAATTATTTTTGTATTCATCCCTCTAAATTTAAGTTTAGTATATAAAAAACTTATATATTTGGCATTGCAGTTTATCTCAATTAGCTATATAAGTAAAATTTTAATGATAACTTAATAATTTCTTTAAAAACTTATTATGATGCTAAAAAAAAGTTAAAATTTGATACTTGCTAACAGTATAAGGTAGTCCTGACTATGGTTCTTAAACCTAAACTATTGGCTTTGAAATCAAATCGACGAGGGACGGTTTTGAAATTGGAACTGATGGTTATGGTTTCTATTCGAGCCATCAATTTTTTTATTTTTTTAATTAAAATTTTAAAGATATAAAAAAAATATTTATTTATTTTTAAAAAAATTAAAAATAATATAAAATTAACAAACTATTTTTAAACATTGCAAGAAAATGCTAACTTGAATTTTAAGATATTGTAACCAATCTCATTTGGTTGTTGGGAGTTACCTTTTAGTTGAATTTTTAATTATTTATTTAAAACCTATTTTGATGCATATATATATATATATATATAGTTTTTATATTTTTATAATTTCTTTAATTTGAACAAACTAATTTTTAACACTTATATAAATTGTTTACTTGGTTCCTCAAAAGAATAATAAAAAAATAGGTCTCAATAAAAAGAATATAGGTATGCTATATATAAGTTTTGTAGTAATAAATATTATATATATAATATGAAAAATAAAATAAGTGTGCAGACAGGTTACCTAATTTCGTATTTTGAAGGATTATTGGTCAAATTCATCAACTTCTTTTTTTATAAATAGTAGTTATTATTCATGATAACATAAATTTTTTTATTTTCATAAAATCTTACTTATTGACATTTCCTAATCGTATAAAATAGATTCATATAGATTAATTTGAAATATAACAATGTCATATTAGAGAAAGTAAGAAGAAGGCCAACTTATATTGTATTCATCTCTATATACTAAGTAGACTAGTGTCATTATCCAACATGTAACCTAGTTCATTGCTCAGTTCTCTCACTCAATTCTATTGCTTCTCAAATTTTATAGAGTAAATGGTTATTTGTCGCTTTTAGTCATCCTTAAATATCCCCTTTTTTTTTTACTCTGACTAATCTAATATAGTTTTATTTTCTTAAAAAAAAGTCTAATTGATAAGAAATTATTGATCGGTTAGTCATTCGTGCAAATTAGGGGCGTGAGAAATTATTCATTTTGAACGATAAATGTACCGTATAATTTTACATTTTTAAAACATGTGAACTCTAAAAGACAATCTTGAAGATGAGGAAGATGTAATAAAAAGTATTTCCATATATCATATTTTCTCGAAATGTTTGTATAATTGGTATCCTATCGCTTATTATTGAAAAATGACATGAACCTATGACATGAATCATTACCGTACTTATGCTTGAAATATGCTTAAATGATTCTTTTTTTTTATGATAAAGGGAGAGAAATATGTGATAAATTGATAATAGATAGAATTGCTATAATTATCATATTTATATTATGTTAAGATATCAGAGAAATATGTGATAAATTGATGATAGAATTACTATAATTGCACTACTTACGAGTTGTTGGTTCTTATACTCCTTAATTAATGTGGGACTAAATAACTTTATTACTAGTAATTATTTGAATCATAATACTAAAATGCTTAAACTCACCAACAATTTTTTACTTTTCAGTTCATCATTATTTTTTATTAATTGAAGACATAAAATTCACTAAATGTTTATTATGCAAGTCGACTACCAAAGATTACATAAAGTTGTTGAATGTGCCTTATTCTCATTAAGTTGGAGATTCCATAAATATACTTTACAAAATAAATTTTTAAGTATATTTTTATTCAGAACATATTAAATGAATACTTAAGGTTTAGTGAAATGTAGATAAGCAGTGCACTCTACTAATATAATTATGGAATAAAGTTTTGAATAGTTAATATTTGATAAGTATGTCAGATAAATTATTATTAAATAATATTTTAGATTAAACAAATTATTGGATGAAATTTTAAATTCTTACCATTTACAACTTGATCTAATATTTTATATAAAAAATAACTATATATGGTTTCACCCTCAGTAACTGCATCTAATATGCAACTATTAGACTAATATTAAAACACTAAGTCAGATGGCACAACCATTACTGAAGTTGAGTGCAAAGAAAGTAGAGCCATACTCATGCAGGAAAGAAATAGGAGATTACTATATACTACCATTTTTATTATTTATAATATCATATTAATAAATTTGAATATTCTTAAATTATTCATTTGAAAATAGATGTATGTGCCCTTGAATTATAACTTAGATTTAATATTTTTTTTAATTTTACCTATATATATATATATATATATATATATTACTTTTGTAACTAATGTCAGTGAAATCCTTTGCACTTCTTCCTCAATTTTTTTTTATCTTTTATCTTTTTTCTTCTTTTCGGAAGGCGATGTAAAATGATTATAGATGATAAAATGAAATTATTTAAAGATAAAAAAAGAGATGATAAATAATTTTTTAATTTATAGTCTAATTTAATATTCTTAGGATTATATAGATTATGTAATAACTCAAAATTTATCATCTATTGATCGACCCATAAGATGTCATATTTCGGACCCAAAGTGTTGATCTTATTGATATTTATAAAATATTTGAAATATGATATTTTCTGGGTTGATTTGAAATGTCATAATATATCATCATTCCAGTAATTATAGGATAATCAAATGTTCGGATCAATAATTTGGGTATTCCAGATTTTAACATTCGAAAGTATAATATTAATTAACAGCCCAATTTCATGCTGATGTTATCCAATTTTTAAAGGTGTTAGTGAACAAAAGTATCGCGATTGATGAGTCAGCACGATTAGGTCCGCAGGTCGATGTCGGGAGCTTCTTGCGGGGTGAATAGGATGATGAGGTGGCCGCACCCTCGAGAAGGAATGTAGGTCGGCGTTGGTTGGGATCCGGGCCGGCTCACTGCTCTTCTTTGTGCGATGGAATGTATCTCTCGAGTCGAGACGCTTGTCGCTCGGGGGTATCCGCCTTCCTGTAAAATAGCCTTCGTCGGGTGCTTCCCGACTTTGACCCCTCCGACGAGCAAGTCAGTGGAGTATTTAATATCGAGTTTTTTCTCCCTCCTGGCCGGGCGTTGACTAGGAGTTTATATACTATTGTGTGATGATTGGTTGCGCCTTGATTCGGTGTAGCCACTGACCCTTGTGGGATGGGATGACTTTTCTGACGAGTTGGCATCTTGGGTGATGCCCGAGTGGCGTCAGATGGCACCGCCTCGAGACCTCGGGATAGTTGTGTCGCACAGTGTCTCGGTACGAAACCTGGCTTGACGTGTATCATGAGGTTCTGATGGCATGCGACGTCGAATTCTGATATTGGTTGGGACGTGGCGTGTGATGTTGGTTGATGACTGGGCCAAAATATGCCATAAAAGGAATGTGTGATCATTTTTAGATAATCTATTCGAAGGGAAAGCAATCTTCTAATGATGTTCATTGTTCAACTTATTCTTGCTACTGACATGCTGAACTAAGAGATAGAACATCACAACTTTTTTGTTGCAAACTCTTTAACCTGGTCATGTGGTGTTCACTCAAGATTAAGAAGCCGTTCATTCCAGCAGCAGCTTTAACCAGAAGACTAGTGAATTCACCATAAATGATGTCCCAGAGAAAAGACTCAAGTGCTGGTTGCCTACCTCTCTCTCTCTTCTGTCTGGTATGACTGGGAACTATACTTGTTTCCAATTTGACCATGTCCATCATTGTCTTAATTTATGTTCTCAATTAGTTGTATATCAGACATTGTTTTGAATAGCCTCTCCTAGTTTTTCTAAGATGAAATGTATCATGGTAGATAGCATCAAATATGGTAGATCTCTTAAATTCTAGGCTAATGATCTGGGAAATAATAGTCTGATATAAATGGAAGGTAAAGAGAATCAAGAATTTATACAAACTGTTGTCATGAAAAATGTCCACAGCCATTTAAATTGCACATCCTTGGAGACAGTGGTTTATCTGTGTGCTAAGATTGTTAGATTAACCACTGTTCTAAGCCAAGACATCTGTGGATGCAGCAAGTAATCAAAGTTAATCATCTCTAAGATATCTGTGGATGTATTCAGTAGAATTTAGCTGTCTCATCTGAACTAAACCACAGATATCTTTGTTAGAATGTTAGATTCCTTGGAGAACAGATGCAGCAAGCAAAGTTGTTCATCTCTAAGATAAAATATCCCTCTACTATGTGAGATCAAGTACATGTCTCTTATTCTGTCATTGAGTAAATTCAATGAAAAATATAAAATAGATTGATATTATTATATTTTTAAAATATTTTTTTCTGAAATGTTTTGTGGAGAAAATTTATAAAAAGTACTCGTCAGCATGAAAAAAACTTCAATTTTATCAATTAATTTTCTCATGGTTTTTTTACCATAAATTTATTAGTTATCAATCGATGGCGTTATTTTTATATTATAGTTTAGTATAATCGAGTAAAATATTATAGTCAATTAATTTTGATGCCGAATTAATTTGGGTGCAAATTCTGTTACCTAATTAATCAGTCAGAGTCGGATTCGGATTTGGTTTTCGATGTCAGCCACAGCGCTTTGGTTAGGCTGCAATATTTGAGCTGCTCTTGGTGGGTCCCTAGATGGCATTAACACGCGGCGTCCATTTCAACAGCTAGGATCCTGTTCCCTGCCCTGGCCGTCGTAGACTCCCGAACTGTGGGTCCAGAAAATCTTGCCGTTAGAATCTTGACGCATAATAGCTGTTTTACTTATGTATCCTTCCCAACGTTTGGAAATAACATATTTACCTCTCTAAATTTTACTATTACATATACATGCCTTCTAAACAGCATAAATTCGACTTATATTTTTTCAAATATTTAAATTTATATATGTCATTCTCGTTAATTAACATCTGTCATGATTGCAATCGAATTCTAATATTAGAATAACTGTTACAATGACATTTGCAGGAATATACTTAAATTTATAAGAAACGAAAATCTTTAAATTGTATAGGGGTGTATATGTAATTTGATCACCTGGGCCTGCGCTAATATTCGTGCACGCAACTGTCCCATCATTCCCGAGCATCGAACGAAGCAATCGTCCCTGTCACGAGGCGCAGACCCACAGGAAAGTGGTCATCTTCGCCGACTGCTCGCCGCAATTCTCAGCCTAATACCAGCGGCCTCCCTCCGCTCTCATTCAAAACCCACGCGCCGCCCACCAGGCGTCGCCGAACACCATGGGCGTTGTCGCCTCCTCGGCCCCTCTTCCATCCCTCATTCTCGTCAATCACGAGTCGGGTACGTTCGTGGGTACAGACGCACGAGTGAAATAGCTTATTTCAGATTCTCCGCCACTTCCTCCTTCACCTGCCTCTCGTGATGGTGCACATCTGACCGCACATCTCGCGCATCCGACGGCTGATGTGCCCCTCTCCTCTCGCAGGCACGTCGCCCACCCACGCCAGCTTAAATGACGCCCCAAACCACGGTGAAGGCGCGCTTCGCTAACTGACCGAGCTCAAGAAGAGAGGGAGGGGGAGGAGGACGCGATCGAATCTAGGTTTCATTTCTACTCCTTTTGATCTTTCCGATCAATTTGATCTCGAACGCTGCCGGGTTTTTGGCCGCCGTCGTGTTGGAGACTATCGTGTGTTTCATTTACGTGTTATTTCGTCTAGGGATTCCTTGCCGGGATGGCGAACATCGACATCGAGGGCATCCTGAAGGAGCTGCCCAGCGATGGGTGCTTGCCGAAGACGAAGATCGTGTGCACGCTCGGGCCGGCGTCGAGGTCGGTGCCGATGCTGGAGAAGCTGCTCAGGGCCGGCATGAACGTTGCCAGGTTCAACTTCTCGCACGGGACACACGAGTACCACCAGGAGACCCTGGAAAACCTCAGGATCGCCATGCACAACACCCAGATCTTGTGCGCCGTCATGCTCGATACCAAGGTCGTCCTCGTTTCTCAAACAATCCATCCTATTTGTGTTGATTTCGATCGGAAAGAGTATATTGCACAAAAGGTCTCATTTGGTATCGTTAGGTGTTGTTGTATGAGATCTGTATGGTATCAAATGCCCTAAAACCGATGGATGTTGCCAGATATTTTGATGCAAAGCCGAGGTTGTCATGATGGATGTTGCAGCATGTCCATCACGGCAGCACTATGATGGAAGATGCCATCTTGCATTCGTTTTGGTCATATTGCTACCAATGTCATGAGCAATGCCACCCTGCATTGTAGGGATCTAGCATCACAATGCATGTTGATTGAGTTTATTTGAGTCTCCCATAAAAGGGATTTAGCCTTCTATAATCTCCAGGCAAACGTCCTTGAAACAAGATTGTACTGTCTTGTTGCGCCTTGAACATTCTTTCTGCTCTGTTTTTAATTGCTTACCTTTACTTCCCTGGAAGCATTTGTGGGAATCTCAACTAACGTTGGATCTTTTTGCGGTTGAGATTGCAAAGTAGGTATGAAAAAAATAGCAGATTTTTTATGTGCTTTGTTTGTGTTAGCATTTTACATACTTATACATAGTTTGTATGCTTAAGTTCACAAATGCATTTTACTTCTTCCTTATATATATATATATATATAGTGTGTGTGTGTATATATGTATATGTGTGTATATATATATTTATATATGTGTGTGTATGTATGTATGTGTGTGCATATATACACACATACATATATATACATACATGTATATATACATTCATATATATATATATGTACATACATATATACATACGCACACACACAAACATACATATATATATATATATATATATATATATATATATATATATATATATATATATATATATATATATATATATATATATACATGTATATATATATA